TCAGACTCGGGGTGGTAGCACCTTCTAGGGTCCCAGCTCTGAAAAAATAGTTAACCATGAAACTGGGGTAAAAACACTATGATAATATAAAAACAGGTTTTAATACCAGAAATATTTTGTAAATTAAAATATTTCCAGCAATAAATTTTTGAAGAAAAAAAAAATACTCTTACAAGCGTTACATTTGGTGGGGGGATATTACCAGCAATGAAAATTTTGTCAGCATTAAATAACACCTGGGGTTGATACGCCGTAAAACAAAGCAAATGAAATCAAACCATTGCTCAAATACTGTAATCTTGGAATCTTCAAGTCGAAGGTCAACCGTCACCTATATCACGTATACTCATAAATGCACTTTCTTAACCCTTAATGCTACTACGCACAAAGAACAATCTCATGTAGTCACTCTCTACCGTGAGTCTTTATTGTGTGAAAATACTCATCCGTTGTGTTCACAAAATTTTCATACTTCAATTTATTTTGAATCAACCTACAAAACAAATCGAGAATCGTTTTGACATATAAAATATTTTTTTTTATTTTCGTGTTTTTACAACTTATTTTCTCTCAGCTTGTATGAGTGTAAAATTTTCATGTTAATTAATTGTTGAGATGAAAAGAAATGCCATTCCTTCCGGTGTATGTGTAAAAAAAAGGCAAGTGAAAAAGTGTAAGTGTTACGTAGCTTGCTGAGGAAGAGTGTACGTCTTACGTAGCTGAGTGAAGAAGACTGATGAATGTCACGTAGCTTGGTGAGGAAGACGGTGGAATGAGTAAGGGAATCTCTTTGAAGCCGAGTTGTAGTGAACTGATGTTGCATATATTCGTTTATATCACTTTACTGGCTTGTCTGACCTGGTGATTTTGCTTATATACTCATCAAAGGGATCACGAAACATGTTTTTTTTTTTTATAGTCGTCAGGAATGCAACTCATGTATTTTCAAAGGATTGAGTTGTTAACTGGAAGGATGCCCGAATCCTTCAACTCGCGATCTTGGGTGTGGGAAACTTATCGACGCTTCAGAATTCTTGGGGCTCTCTGTGAAATTCGTTCCGTTTCGGACTCATATTAAAAAACCCAGACAAAGGCAATCCATCATTGCTAACATAACAAGCCCACAAGGCACTCTGGTCTATCGCTGATAATTCTGGTGTTGGCCTTCGCATTCTGTAACGAAATTAATTGTAATTTGTTTTTTTAAATGTTAAAGTGGAAATTATTTATAACTAAACTTAACATATTGTCCTAAAAAGTTGAATGAAAAAATCTATATGTTTGCTTTAAATACTGAAATACATTTTCCCTATAATATTTAATCATCAATTTTACAAACTTATGTCTATCTAGGCTGAGGTTAAATAGTTCGTTTGTCCTCTGTGTTAGCGATATAATCATTGAATCAAACTGCGAAGAAAACGATTTCAATAATTTTCCTCCGGAGAACATCTAGATATATGTATTGAAAGTTTCATTTGACCACCAAATTATCACCCCAAGAGAATTACCATTTGCCGGTGTAATCGAGTCCGTTTTCTCTTTTACGAAGCAATTGCGAGCCTGCATACCAGAGGCTACCGCACCAAGCGAATAATATGATTATGGGTGTGTTACGCCGAATATCAGTGATGCATAAAATATGTCGGTATTTATTGTACAGAATGGAAAATCAATGATATGATTGGTCCATTTAGATGAGAGAAAGCATTGAAAAGGAGTGCAGTGTTGTGTAAATGTCTCCACGTATTAGTCTAATTAGAAATCGGGTTCCCTCAGTGTTGTAGTTAAGGGAGGTATTACCTACACGCCGAAGCTGAGCTGCTTGTCCATTTTTCTAGCGGGAGTTATGGTGAAACTATATTATTCTTATGCAAAATTCAGTGTTAAAACATTTTGGCATTGATTCCAAAGTGTTTTTCAGGTTAATGTCTATGTTGATTTTGTTAAATAAACATTAAAGCCGATCAATTGTACATCCTTCTTTAAGTGTGCTCTCTTTAACAAAAGTAAGGATATATATATAAGTAAAGATATATATATATATACCCCCGGGCTCGCCGCGCCCGTTGCTATCGTGAGACGACCAATGTGACTTGGTATTGGTCGCGGCGCCAAATGTGACGTTCTAACCCTTGGCTGATTCGGATGGGAATCTGGTTAGATTCGGTATCAGCTTTGTCATTCCCAGCTCGCCTCCAACGTCTGGTTATCGAATGTCAGTTTCATAACGATATATATCTTAATAATGTGCATATATATATATATATATATATATATATATATATATATATATATATATATATATATATAATGTGCAAGAATGTATGTCGGAAAAACCACATTTCTGGTGAAATAAGATGACGCGGTTAGAGAAGCTAGTAGCGACATGTTATGCCTATATCATATTTTAAGAGAAACCTCATGTTAAACGCTTTCCTATCATATCCATTCCTTTTAAAAATTACAGTTAATAAAAAGTTATTAGTATTTTAAAATGGAAGGTGGCTTTTCAGTCACGCTGCTATATATATCTTTATATATAAGTCGTCCAATTTACAGTGTACTAAATAATAGAGATAATATGATCCGAAAATTCACAGTAACTTTTTGAACTAAACATTTATATATATATATATATATATATATATATATATATATATATATATATATATATATTAATATTTGTATTTTTTTTTTGTATGAATAATTCATGAATTTGTAAATTGATTGCACCTTTATTGGAATTAAAATAACTGATCCAAATGCAACTTTTGGATAATAAGTGCGACATTACTGTTATTTTTGAACAATATAGTTCATGCCACTTTGACAGAAAATTTACCAGTAAAAAAGAATTCGCTTATCACCATATTTGTATAAGAACGCACAATTGTAAAATTTAAATTCAAACTCAGCGTTGCGACTGCACGCTCCAAAAATAATAACTCATTTCTAATAGCATTTCTCGGATTACAACAGTACATATATTTTCGTTGTCCTCTTATTACTGAGAGAAAAAACAAGAACAAAATCTATTCCATACCTGAGAATGTATCTAAGAACAGACGAAAGCTTGTAAAAATAATAAGAACTCATGCAACAGGAATTTATAAAAACAAGGATCTTTTCATTCATAAACAGATTCGGGGTTTTTGTATATTATTTGAATTGTTCGCGACGATGGATTTCTCGCCAATTAAATCATTAACCTTTGTTTTTTGTATGAATAATGCAACTGGAGAAGTATATATATATATATATATATATATATACTGAATCTATATATCCCCGTCGAATTCGACTTATGAGGATCAAGCAGATCACTTCCTAGGAAACTGACAGCCCGACAACAGCACATGAGATTTGATTATAGTGGTGAAGGATTTGTGCAGAACCAACCACACTTTTTTGAAGGGTCGAGTACAGAGACTTGATGTACGGCGAGCCACAAGGTCCCCAAAAGACCCTCCGCAGATCTTGAATTCAGAGTTGTCCTTCTCCTATACGAGTTGCCATCCAAGGCTATAAATCCCAGTCTGCCCTGCTTTTTACCCAAAGCTGGAGGGAGAAGAAGAGGATTCACAGCTTTTTGTGAGGGTATTAGCACGTAAGTGAATGTAATGGATTCCATGGAATATATATATATATATATATATATATATATATATATATATATATATATATATTTCAATGATAATGTTATTAAGCTTTATCAGACAATATGAAAGGAACTTATTTTTAAAATAAATAGACAAAACTTGTCTATATAGTTTAATGAAACATGCATCGATGAAAATTTACTGCCTAAATACACACAATATATATATATATGTGTGTGTGTATGTGTGTGTGTGAGAGAGAGAGAAAGAGAGAGAGCGAGAGAGGGGGGGGGAAATGCCTATATCTGAAAATTGTGTAACAGTGGAAGCCCTTTTAGATCTTTAAAATGTTCCCTCTCTGTGAAAGTTGAATACGGACCCATTGACATGATTTCCATCTCCACTAATTGCTTGATTAGAAAAAGATAGCCAATGGGATAAAAACCCGAGAAGAAAGAGAGAAATTTAGAAGGAGTTACTCTTTTTCATACACGTTCAGGAATAATTCTCATTGGTCGAGAAGTAATCTAACGCCAACTTTAATTTTAACCAGGATAATAATCGTAGTGAACGCTTTTTCTTAAACTTACACTAGACGCTGCAACAGTGTAAAGCGCATTCCATGACGTTTCCTTTGCACCAAACAAGAGGAGTACAATATTAATCCCAAGATAGCATTGCACCTAACCTAGCTCAGAAAATGTCACCAATGGATCGTGAGAGACAGACGCCGTGTAGTCTGGTTAAACGCGTGACCTTTTCAACTTTTACGAGCAGAGTATGAAATTCAAATGTATAGATCGCCGTGTTTCCCATTGTTTGCGTGCGAAACGAATATCACTGGTTCTGGGAAGGCAAGGCCTCCGTGCGGGAGATTGGAGTTTCTGAGAAACGCGCAGCCACGTCTTAATTTCTGTTCCTTACAAGTCTACCCTGAACCTGGGTGGCCACATCTCTTAGGGTCACACCTATGGGCAAATAGTTAACCACAGAATAAAAATCAACAGTATATTTTTATAGTGAAACACAGAAAATACAAAATTGCATACAAAGTATCTCTCGTTGAAAGCATAAAACCACGTACAAATTACTTAGATGTCTGCATTAAATAGCCCAAAGAGATGTTGATATGCCGATGTTATACTGGAACACACCTATTCTATAGTTAATAGACTCTCCCACCTATAATAACTAGTAGTAGTAGCAATCGCTAAGTCAATAGCTGAGTGAGTTGGTAGGCTAGTTGATGTCGGATACTAAAGTATCAGCGACCACCACTAGATTTTCTCTGCGTCATTACTTATTATATCAAGTTCCTAACGTTTTGTACGTCGAACCTATTTTATGACCGACTTAGTGAAATACAAACCTTCACTGTGAAACTACTGTACAACATGCTTACGGTCAAATCACGCTGAAAACACCGGTTCTCGTTCGATCACCGAAGTTAACCATCGTAGAGCCAGGTCAGTACTTAGATGGGGGACCGCTTGGGAACACCTGGTACTGTAAACCCCCAAAGTCCAACCCTTACCTCACAGTCGGTGGGGGGGGTGTAAACGGTAGTGTCAGAGCTATGCCGCCCGGAACTTCGTTCCTGGTAGGGCCACCCAAGGCGGACAGGTCTGACACACACGCCGGCTAACAAGGGCTCTGGTGAAAATCCAAGGAGGGTCTGCATCGGTAACCGGCGGCTTCTGGTCGTTCCTGTCTCTGCGTCTGTGGGAACCCCGCGGCAAGCAAGAACGTTATCCGAGTAGGCCTGGGTACCCTACTTCTGTAATTTATCCCAAGAATCTTCTTCTCATAACAGGAAGAAGATAAGAATCAATCCGCCCAGGGTGAATGCCGCATCAATACAAATATAAGTAATGTACAACATCCGACAAACAAATTCAAACAGCCGAACAAGCAACATGACATTAATCCTCATAATATCTTACAATTTCTTAAAGGAATGAAACTGTATTTCGAAATATAACTTCAACTAAACTAGAACATAAAACACACATATCACCGCCTCTAGTAATTATGTCCACACAAGCATGTATATGCAGAAAAGTTGAGTATCATTTGCCATGTATTCAACTGCGAAAGCAGAATAACAGATATTATATTTTTTATTACTTCAAAACTCCGAAGAAAATTAAATTTCAGCATTAAATGACCTATGAAAAGTTGCTGTGGCGTTATCTACGAAAATCAATCTAATATTACTAGACAGGTTTTCAGATAAGTTCGTTAATCTTGCCGCTCTTGTCGGAGTTAAAAACCATCTGAGGCATGCTGTAGACTTCATTTAATCTTCTCGTCACTAAACTTATGTCAGTTACAAAATGACCTACTCCTCCTTCTCCTCCTTCTTCTTAGTCTTCTTCTTCTTCTTCTTCTTCTTCTTCTTCTTCTTCTTCTTCTTCTTCTTCTTCTTCTTCTTCTTCTTCTATGGCTCTTCACAATTCCCTGTTCTTTGTTGCCCTAATTAAATTTTGTCTTTTGGTTATCTCACCTAAACCTTTATATGATATCTATTTACTCAAGATCGCTAGCTAGGTTATGCTCTGACCCTTAATCTCTCATGCGATTATCAAATTTTCCAAGTCATCTTTCCTCTTTATGTGCCCAAGTCATTTAAAGTGTCTCTTCCTGATGTTAATATGAGTGTCCCTTTTTTGCTCCCATATTTTATATAACTTATTCGCTACTCACATATTTTGTTCATAGTATTCTGGGGATCCTTCTATAGAACCATATTCTTGTTGCTTGAAGTTCTTTCATCTCTGATGGCATTATCCACCATTCCCTGTCATATAGGAGGGTCGATATTAATAATATTTCAGTACTATTTCCTTAATTTTTAACAATTTTTTTTGTTTTCTCTTTTTTAATAATTTGCTGAGATTGAAAGGCTTAATTTTCTTTCCAAATCCGCCTACCGCTTTCAGTGTTTCACTTCACACTCTCTGTTAAAACAATTTCCAAATATTTAAATTATTTTTGTTTGATTTTGAGATCCTTCCGGTAACAACCATGTATTCTGTCTTTTTGCAATAGAGGTGAAGTCGTGCATTATTTACATCATTCAACTGTTATCCTCATCTTCATTGCCATATTCGCAAGGTTTCTGTCGTTGTATTTCTTCTTCTTCTTCTTCTTCTTCTTCTTCTTCTTCTTCTTCTTCTTCTTCTTCTTAAATTATTCTTGTTTGATTTTGAGATACCAAAATTGTAATTTGCATGTTCAGCTGTTCCTTCTGGTAAAAACTATGTATTCTGTCTTTTTGCATTATTTACATCATTCAACTGTTATCCTCATCTTCAATGCCATGTTCACAAAGTTTCGGCCGTTGTATGCTCCGACATTCTTCAGGTGGTTGTAATTTCGAGTCGGTCCTTTTATTTCGTCCGCCGGGGTAGATTGTTCTAGTTCCACGTCTCATGCCTCATCAGTTATTTCTCATTAACTCAACTCTCCTACTTTTGGTTCACCACTTCTTCAGTCTGGTATGTAGACGTTAGGTTTATAATCACAAATAATTCATACACAGATATCCTCAAAGACACATGGCCTTGTGTATACAGACGTTGGTTAAAACTAGAACTATCTACCCGAAATAAAGGGGTCGGTTCGAAATTCCAATCACCTGAAGAAGGCCGGTGCGTACGACGGCTGAAACGTTGTGAATATGGCAATGAAGATGAGGATAACAATAATAATAATAATGTAAATAATGCAAGTAATCATGATATCTCATCTCAGAGATATAAACAGTGAAAGTCCTGATTTCTAGTTTTTTCTTTATTAATCTTAAGTAATATAAAGAACTAAGTGATATTAATAAAAGAAAGACTGTACTACTGCAATAAATAGAATAAAGCGTAGCTGGAAGAATTATATTTATAATACAGAGTTCTAAACTCTGTGTATAAATCAGACAGTAAAATCCATGAGACATGAAATTTTGAAAATTATTATAAGAATTAAATAAAAATGATATACGGGAATTTTAAGAAATGTTTTGTAGGAATATGAACATTATTTATATTATTTAAATTGTTAAATTATTATAGGGTTGGGATCAGCCCACATAAATCATCAAATGGAAGATTCAAATTAAAATGCTACGCTTTCGATTTTTTTCTCTCTCTTCGAAGAAAACTCAGAAGCGGATGTGTTTGGCGCCATCATCTCTTATCCAATGAAATCTTCGCATATATCGAGCCAAAGGCCCTCAGCGCTATATATTTTATTTTGTTGAAGAAATAATTTTGGAATATACTCGGGATTTTATCGCGTTGACTTAAATGCAACACGTCGTTAAGAGGATTTAAAAATATTCGAAAGATGAGAAAAGGTTTCTAATCCATGTTTAGGCGACAACTATCAGTCAGTGATTTCATAAAATATTTTTTTCTTCGTCTTCAATACACATATTGTTTTATTTTCAGCAACGTCTATAGTGACTAGGAATGATGAAGCTAAACCAAGAAAAAAAAAAGAAAATTCGTTGCCAAATCGCAGAGTACTTTTTAGTTACACATTTATATATATATATATATATATATATATATATATATATATATATATATATATATATATTATACATATTGAAGAATAAATTTGGAATATACTCGGGATTTTATCGCATTGACATTAAATGCAACACGTCGTTAAGATGATTTAAAAATATTCGAAAGCGGAGAAAATTTTCTAATTCATGTTTAGTCAATGATTTCATAAAATATTTTTCTCTTCGTTTTCAATAGACATATTGTTTTATTTTCAGTAAAGTCTTTAGTGACTAGAAATGATGGCGTGAAGCTAAACCGAGAAAAAAGAATAAGAAAATTTGTTGCCAAATATTTCTAATTTATCATAAATATCCATAAGTCTACAATTCGTCCATGCTTAGAATATTGCTGACAGATATGGTCCAGTGCTCCTGCTATTTATCTTCAGATCCTTGATAAAATCCAAAAAAAGAATCAGCAATATTATCGTTCCTAATGTGGCTGCTCGGCTTCACTCGCTTTCCTACCACCGTAAGGTGGCCTCCCTGTGTCTTTTCTATAAATACCTTTATAGTACTTGTTCGGATGACCTCTTGGCTATCGTACCTGGAATTTTTTAATTTAAGCGCAATACTAGACTGGTGTTCGGATATCTTGAATTTTCAGTTATCTAGCGAGATGTAGCCGTAAGTACTATGCTAACAGTTTCTTTTCTTTTCTCGCACTTCTCGACTGTGAAACTCCCTAGCGGCTACGTGCTTTCCAGCCAACTTTAATCTGCAAAAATTTAAATACAAAGTCAACCACTGTATACTATCCATCTGATTCGTCCTTTCTCTTCTCGCACATTAGTCCCTGTTCGTATTTCTTCCTCACCCTGTGCCTTGAGGAGGCACGGTTCTTTTAATTTCGACTTGGACTGAGTAATCGGAAGTTTGAGTTCGAATTCCAGTCGAATCCATTACATTTTTACGTGAAATTGGGAAAATAATTGAATCCTCTTTCTTCTCCCTCCAGCTATGGGTAAATAGCAGGACAGACTGGGTTCAGTTATAGCCTTGGATGGCAACTGGTCTAGGAGAAGGAAAACTCTGAATTCAAACCTGCTCGGAGGGGTGAATGGAGTCTCTCTGAGCCTTGGTTGGCAATCCATTTAGTGATGGTGTCACGATAAAAAACACCCTTGATAGCCCTAGCGAAGCAGCAAGAATTCAGCTATTTGACAAGATTATGAACTACACCAATCAAAGTATTAGCTATGACAGATAAGGATTACTGGAAAGGTGTAGTGAGTTCAATCTCGGCTGAGGCCACAAGATGATGTGTCTTAGTGGCTTTACTGCCTTCCTTGGGTTGAAATCGATAAAATAAAATAATTAATGGATTTTATTTTAATCCGGCACATTTATACTAATTTAAATGTTATGTATTAATAGACACGCGTATCTTTGTAGACGCCCTGTTTATATTAAATAAATATTAAACAATATTCTTTTTAGTCTACTAGCCTACATGTTCGGGAGAATTTATTAACTAAAACGTGACATCCGGCTTGATTTGAACCTGCAATCACCTGACGTTTAATCCGGCGAGCTTAAACGGGGCGTCTAAGAAAACGTTCACTAACAAACGAGCACTTAATTTGACTGAACGAGTAAAGTTTATTTTAATGGCAAAATAGAAGCCCGGCTTTTTGCGTAACTTTTCGTAGGTGATCGGCCATGCATGTCGGATTAAACGGCGATTTCTCTCGTAAATGGAGGAAGCAGGTTGGTATTCTGCCAGAGTTTTATTTTAAGTCGAAACATATTTCGGACCGTAAGAATAATTTTTTTTTTTTCGTGAATGTATAATGCATTAAATATTAATTTTATTTTTATAGAATAACAATGACTTCTCCATGTACGAGTTCTATTATTTAAAACATACCTGGCGGGGGCTGATGGAATCAGACCTTTCTCAAGTCTATTTGCACAAAAGCGAATGTAGCGAAGCCGATACCTC